GCACACATGAAGAATTCAGATAAATCAGTCAGAGTGTTTATTTGAAGGGGTTATGGTGTGGTCACTCAAGTATGTCCTTTTGCTTGGTTTATTAGGCTCTTGTGTTGTTTGGTGACATAAACACCCTGGCCTCGATTTGTAAGGGTCCTTGCTACAGCACAGCCCTTTCCCTTTTTCATTCTTCACTTGCCTTCTCTTCTGTTCCAGGAAATGAAAACCGCATCACCCCACACAAGTCCTGTGTGTGAATGAGAGGGGGCAGTGGCCAATAACTGCAAAGCAATTAAACCTTCTTTCAAATGTGAGACTATTATATGTAAAAGCATTTAATAATTTGAGTTCTCCTTTAATAAATATTCTATACAAATTGAGGGAAAAAAGAGCAGTTTTGATGTGTTTCCTAGGCCTCTGACAGCTTTCAGGTGGGTTAAACTCTCATGACAAAAAGTGATTGAGCTCCTATTACATATATTTCATTCCAAGAAGAAGATAATGTCTTTACTATATTGGGTTATAATTTATCATTCTACAGGTCTCTCCTTCCTGCCTGGTGATAAATAATATCCAGCGCTTCATTAATCTATGTTATCTCTCATAAGAAGTGTAATTCTTGGCACAAAGTAATTGCTCAATTTAAAAAAATGCCATGCTAAATAAATGAATTTCACTAGAATCTCAAAGCCAGCTCATGATAGAAGTAGTGTGCAGAGGGTTGTACAAAAAGTTTTTGTCTCTACTAGTTTAATGAAGCTGCTCTTGTCAAAGTGACCAGTAGGTACCATTATGTTAAATCTAATGGCAAATGATCAGTCCTTTTGTTTTTCTACTGTGCCTACTGTTCTCCCTATTTCCTCTGCTACCCCCATTGCTTCATGCCACACACTTTAGTCTCCATTTAATAATAAGAGCTTTTCTTCTAAAACACAAATCAGATTGTATCAGTCTTCTCAAAACCTTTCAAAGACCTCTCAGATCACATAGAGTTCAGTCCAGAGTTCTCACCAGCCCTTCAGGGCTCTACATTTTTGCCCTATCTTTCCGACCTTAGCAGCCACTTCTCTGATGTGTACTTGCTCCAAACACACTGGTCTCTTTGCTGTTCTTTGAGCTTGCCGAGCATGTGCTAACCTCAGGGCTTTGCACATGTCATTTTCTACTTTTTTTCTCAGGTTCTACGTGGCTTACTCTTTCATTTCACTCAGTGCTGTTGTCTTTCTGTGATGACTCTGTCTCATTCTCTAGCCCATTTATTTTCATAATATCTATCACTACCTGGCATTAAATATCTCCATGTTTGTTTTTTGTTCATCTTTTCACTAGAATGTAAGGTCCATGGTTGCAAACACTTGGCCAGATTTATTCATTGCTGTTTCTTGGAAGCCTAGAATAGTACCTAGGCAGATTGGAGGCACTCACGATGTTTGTTGTACAAATAAATGAAGTATGAGGGTATTAGCCACTTATTTTCCTAGGATATATTTAAGGGTCCGTTAAAGCCTCAAAAACCAGCTTCTCCCAATACCTCTTGGTACATAATGCTGAGTCTTGAAGAGGAAGTGGGTAAATGTACGTAGAATCAGAAATCTTCCTGGAAGAAGAAGTAATGAGATTCATTTGAGGTTCAGTGTTACTGTTAGGAATAACTGGTTACGAGTCACTGGATGTGCCCCAGCTGGTGTGGCTTGGTTGGGTGTTGTCCTGCAAAATGAAAGGTTACCAGTGTGATTCCCAGTCAGGGCACATTCTTAGGTTGCAGGTTCAATCCCCAGTCAGGGCTGTCTATGAAAGGCAACCAATTGATGTTTCTCTCTCACATCGATGTTTCTCTCTCTCCTTCTCCCTCCCTTCCCCTCTCTCTAAAAAAATTAAAAAGAAAATTTTTTTAAACAGTCCCTGGAAGAGAAGTACATCCAGGGGTCCCAAAATAAGTTCATAGGAGAAAAAGAAGATTTTGTGATGGCTGAGGTTTTTGGAGGGAGATGGTAATGGCCCATCTTGTTGCTGAAGCTAGAATTCCCTAGGTCCAGGCACCCTTACACAATTGACATGCTTCAGGAAGAATAAGCTCAGGCATATAAGCTAAACACAGCCATAACCTTAGAGTTCCAAGCATATTACATTGCCTAACCAACAAAGAGTACGGCCATAAATAGAAGCTCATCAGGCCATGAAGCAGCAACAGAAACAATGGCAACTGATCATGGTAGACATCCAGTTTTTTCTGTCTGACATTTGGAAACAGGATTGATTCCTTTGAAATAAATAAATGCACAAATTTTTGGAAACTCTGAATGGGAGAACTTAAAAGACTATGGATGCATTTCTACCTTTGTTTTTATTCCCAAAATAACTTATAGCCAGAGATAATGCCCAAATATTGGAATTAGTTAAGACATCAGTGCATTGAAGTTCTTTTAAAACTTTTGTAATATTTGTTTTATTTTTATGTTCTATTTTTCTGGCATTTCAATCTGTGAGTCAATTAAATCCTTTAGGAAGTCACCAGCATACAAAAGAAAATATGTATACTTGATAACTTAATGACTTCCTAACCTTATGATTTTATTATTTTTTGCTAAGCAAATGGGAAGTCAGTGGCAGAGATAAAAATCAAATTTTACATTTCTTAAAGGACCATGGATTTCATGTCTTTTCCTGGACTTTCACACGGAACTCCAAATCTGTATAACATTCAGCGACTGCCGTAGACTACAAAACATTTTATTATGCCATAACAAAAAGTTGTTTAGAGATGTGTAGCATCTCTGTTAATTTAATATAACACCTATTGCAATCAAAGCCTGTATACTGTTAGCAATAAATCTTACAGCTTTAATTTTATAACTTCACAGCCATGAAGAAAAATGGGTTTTTATATAATTCTTAATGTGGAGACTGCTAAAATGGCTCATTAAGATGGGGAATGCAAGTTTCCAAGGATCAGACTATCCTGAATGAAAGCTATTTATAGAAACAATAAGGCCATGTTTATACATTACAGCAAGATCATTCATGGAATAGTTGGTACAAAACTCAGACCATGTTGTCCATACATTGGTGATCAATTGGTGGTAGCATATGATAATCCATGTGACCCTCTAAACCTCTTGTATGACCAAATTGTCTAAGATGTTAGTCTTAGTTGTTGTTATCTAGTTATAATATATTTGAATGAAGCAAAGGTTTGATGTGCTTTAGGTAAAAATAAAATGAAAAAATATATGTAAGTTTTGGCATTAATATAAATTAAAGTGAAAGGAGAAGATATAGTCATAAAACTACATTTGTTTGTATGGGCTCTGAATAAAAGGATAGATGACTGGATTGAACATAAAATAGTTGAATAGGGGGTGAATGAGAGGAAGGAAAAGCATCCAGTGTGTTTATAGGAAAAGCGCTGCTATTAATAAAGAACAATAAGCTTGAGGCCTTAATCAGTTACATACCCTTGAGGTAGTATTACAATTCTGATTCCACCTCCATTTCTAGTTTAATGTCTCCATGATTATCTCCTTGTTTTAAATGAACTTTGAGTAATTACCTCTTTTAATCACCCTTTTAAAAGTCCTAAAAAGTGAATTTTTACTTAAATAGTCAGCAACAATAATCAGTTACAGCAACAATCAGATGACCTTCTATTTGTCTGAATACAGAAATTAAGAGGAAATCTATTCAGGAGATTTTGTTTTTTAAGAAAGCTAGCAAAATAACTAAATAAGGTAAATGGAATATTATGCAAACAATATCCAGAATAATCTCTGACTTCCCCAAATTACTCATTTACTGATTCATTAATTCATTTGGCTATTTTTGAGCATCTGCTCAATGGTAAATCCAGTGTTAACTTCTGAAGGGTACCAACCGTGACCTCTGTCCAATGGCCTTGTGTGCAGTTGGTGAGGCAGACCTATAAATCATTAAAGAACAGTAGTAGATCAAAGGGCATTTTTACCTTTTAAACAATTATACTAGTGTCAGTGTCTTTGGAAAAACTTTGAGCTGTTTGACCAACTTCACCTATGAAGTCAATTAAAAACATTAAGCAAGTAGAGAGCTATAGATAGAGCTGTATCTGAATGTTTTCATAATTCCAACAAGCTAAATTTGCAGCTATTATCAATTATCAAATCATAGTTATTTGGTAATTATTACCTAACAAGGCACTTGATAGATGTGCTGAATAAATGAATGAATGATACTGCCATTCAGTCATTCATTGAATAATTATTCATGAAATTATTTCATTCATTTTCAAATTTTAATGTACATGTGAATCATGTGCTAATCTTGTACACATGCAGATACTGATTCAGTCATCCTGGAATGGAGCCAGAGAGTCTACATTTCTAACAAGCTTCTAGGAGATGCTGATATTACTAGTCCATGAAACTCATTTGGTAATAAAAAGGTCCTCAATATTCAACCATATAGTAAGCTACTAAAAGCCATGCTCCTGCAATATGGTTGCCTTTCTGTTATTTATCAGTGGTGTGAACTTGGAAAAATCAGACTCTGAATCGTCCTTTCCTCATCTTTTAAGTAGGGAAACTTATACCTGATTGTTACATGAATCAAATGATCAAATGGGTATGAAAGTTTTTTTATAATTTGAAAGTGTTCTGCATATGTTAGCATTATAATTATTATTTCCTAAGTAGAGGTGATAAATAAGGGAGATCTTTCTTTGAATACATGATAACTTTATTGGCAAACTAATACAAATGAATATTTTGAGATGTGAAGCCTTCATGAAGTACTTACTAGGACATACAGGTATATACATGTACAACATGTTCCTTAACTATCAAAGCTGTTAAATATGTGACCCAATTTTGCATGACTTACAACAGGATGCTCTTTCTTTTTCTTTTCTCTTTTAAAAAAATATAGTCTTTATTATATTTTTTCCATTATCATTTAGTCCTCTTATACTCCCTCCAGCGATCACCACCCTGTTGTCCATGACCATGAGTTCTTTTTCTTTTTTGCCCAATCCCTCCAAAAATATGGAATGACACGAGTTCGTGTGTCATCCTTGCGCAGAGGCCATGCTGACCTTCTCTGCACCATTCCAGTTTCAGCGCATGTGCTGACAAAGTGAACACTACAACAGGGTACTCTTTCATTGTAGGCTATTAGTTATTATTTACAGGTTCATTATAAAAAATGAGATGTCCCTGTATAACAAAGGCCACAGCCAATATTTTATGGATAGCACACAGAGAGGTTGGAGATTGATGATTTATAGATCAGGAAATAGCAGTAAATCAACTTTCCTGACTTCCAAAGCCACGTTGGGCAGTTTTGCATCACCTTTTGCTTGTCAGCTATGTTTGTATTAATAGTGATACCGTTGCAGGCTGAAACAGGATAGGCACACTCTTGGAGGTGCTGTCTGGAAATCCTTCCAGCATGACTGGGGGGCCAGGGCACACTGTTGTTGCCCATCTATCAGAAGCGTTGCGCATTCTGACCTCAGCCACGCTCCACGACATTCACTGTCACAGGAAAGAGGGTCTGTCTGCATTCCCACACGCCCGTGCTTACCAAACGCTAAATGAAGTTGTCTTCATTTGAGAAACATTTATACATTAATTTTTGCACTTACAGCAGCCCAGGTTGGACTCTGGGATTTGAAAAGCTTCAAAATGATTTCAAAAAAGCTGAAAGTATTTAAAGATTTGAGAAATAAGATATATGAGAACAGTGAAAGAGAAAGGAAAGCCAAGGACACCTTAACATACCTTCTTACTTGAAACATTTGGAATGAGGTCTCACACCCTGCATTAGATCTAATTATGATTTTACTTATATTCTAAGAATTTGCTTAGATTAATCTTATCACATGTATTTAATTCTGTCATGTGTGTAGTTATTTATTGCCTGTTTCATTTAATCTAGCCAGTTATTGAGGTGTATTCCTTTCTCATCCTGGTTATCTCCCACAGTGCCCCAAATAGTGAACTTTTTTCAATAAATGCTTGTTGAATAAATAAATGGTAAATAAAGGAACCACCAATGCATGCATGTAATCACTATAAGCTTAGGAATTCTCAAGTGACAAGGACATAGAAATCGTTTTGGAAGAGACTAGAACTAAGCGTTGTCTACAAATAATCTCAGGTTATGGTGGTGTCACTGGTATGTAGAATAATCAAGAGATTCAGAATTATTTACTGAGAAAAGCATATAATTTACTTGCAAGAAAACTTCTTTTGCAGGCAAGTTGAGATGCTCCATTAAGTCAGAATACAAAGTTAACTTTGTATTTTCCACAATAAGACATCTTTGGCATCCCCATGCCTGGTGTCTCTGAGCACATTGCTCTTAAACAGCAACACACTACCTTCTCTTCAGGTGCTCCAGGGAAATCCAGTTTTGACGTGAGAACCACGAGCTGATGATCAACAGCCTCTGTGGGACAGCTGAAGTTCGAGAGGCATGGGTCACCTATTTTCAAGTCCGCTGTCCTTTCACACTGAAGCTAGTTTGTCAACGGTCCACAATGATCTCATGATTGCTAAGTCTTAAGACACCTCTCAGACTTCATCTAACTTGACTGATCTGAAACCATTAACCTGGTTGACTATTCTCTCCTTGAAAGGCTCTGTGTACTGAGTTCCTGTAATACTTACTACACTTGCCTGGTTTTTCTCCTCCTTTCAGAACACCCATTCTTAGCCTCCTTCTTCGCCACATCTTAACTGTTGGTGCTTTCCAGGGGTTTGTCATTCCTTCTCAAGCTACACATTCCTCTCAGTGCCCTTATCTTTTCTTAATGCTTTTAAGTATCATTTATCCCACCTTTGTATATAATGTGCAGTTTCACAAGGACTGCTCTCCTAATTTAGCTGACAGTGCATTTTGAGTTTCTAAAATGCAGCTAGTATATACATGAAGAAAACTCAATGTCAAAATCTGAAAAATAAAATATAGACACACATGATTTTGCGTTTGGAAACCATGCATCTATCTTTTAGCCAAAGTTAGAAATCCACACAGAGTTGCTTGAGGATCTGCCCACCGCCTCCCATAACTTGCTCTTTCCTTTACTCTGCTCCCCCCTCCTACCCCCGAGCTGCTCTCTGAACTTCACTTAGAACCCACTACTGGGAGACTTGACAGGCACGTCTTTCTGGCCAAGAGAAGTTGTCATCAAGTTTCGCAGAAATTTTTCACCATTCAGAAAGAGTTTATGCTTTACCAAAAGAATTCACCTTTGGGCCCTTTCAAATAAACAATTCTCCAAGGAAATTTAATATCTGATTCAACTAATCAAAATTAGATTTACTCACATTTGGAAAACATGTCTATCATCCTGCCTCACTTTATGTAACTGGTGTGTCCCTGAAATAATCAGCTAGTTGTAAGCAGAATAATAGTTCAAATGTAAAAATCAATTTGATAAGAAAACAAATACTTTCATAAAGTAAACAAGTATATAATAGAATTTTGTGTAAATTTGGACTTTATATATTAAGTGTACTTACTTTTGAAGGTAAACAAGCGTACAAGAGAGAGAAGCTGAGATTGACATGCATTCAGGACTTGCCAGGTCTCAGGCATCACGTCAGGCGCTGTGGCCTGCCATGACCAGAGTGCTTAGGTTTTAGTTTTTTTGTGTTGTGTGTGTAGGATATAAACCAGAAGAACTGTATTCGATTCACAGTCAAAAATGTGTTTGCTCCTCCAAATTCAAAAGTCTTTGAGTTTTGTGATTTCCTCAGTGCCGCTACCCAGGAAATTCATCCCAGACAGACTCTATTTCTTTCCATTCAGTCTCTTTTCCTCAGATACCATTTTCCTTTTCCTCTGATACCTTAAAGGGACAGATCTCATAGCCAAACTTATTTACTGTTAGGTTAGTTATTGATACAAAAATAAATATAGATGGTGTATAATGTACTATATGTGTATATGTGCATAACATACATATTATATATGTATGTATATAATATAGTATATGCATATATATTAAATATATGGCATATGAAATAATATATGTATATATTATATACACATATATTAAATATAAATGGTATATATGTATGATATATATATCATTAAATATAAATGGTACATATGTATGATATACACATATATTTAATGTAGTATGTGTGTATATTTATATATGCATATATGTATATATTAAATGTGCATGTTATATAGTGTATATATGTAAATATGTAATGTAGCATATGTGTATATAGGTATATATATTTTTTATTAGATGAGTTACTGATACAAAAATAACTATCACATATATACAGTGTATAATGCAGTATATGTGTATATATATATAACGTGGTGTGTGGGGGGCGTGTGTGTGTGTGTGTGTGTGTGTGTGTGTGTGTGTTTTTTTCCTGCCTTGGCTAATGTAACTTAAGTGATATTAACTATTTGAGGTCCCTGGGAACTGACTTCTTCCATGTCTACGTCCAAGCCTTTTTCTCCCATCTGGTTGCTGGGAAAGCTTCTTAATTCCACTTGTCACAAGAATGGGGGCGATCTGTGGACCACAGCTTCCACCTCTTTGACAAGAGTTTCTTAACTAGGAATATAATGAGGTGGGAAAGGCACTGGAGAGCACTTAACTGCATTAACACTTAGAGAACTCAGGGCCCCACCCTCCCCTTCTGATCACCTTTCAACCATCTTCTATCCACCCACCCCCACCCCGGCCAGTCTTACGGGCCTCCAGATACAACAACAGCTCTGTGTTAACAACTTGGCCCCTGCAGGAAGCCAGACCCCAGGAAACAACAAACTGTTTCCCTCTGGGAGGCCCTGACTTGGGGCTTCTCTCCCTTTCCTGTGTCAACAAAGCCTATGTTTCCTAACTCATAGGCCATAGAATAAGCCAAATTCCTGGGGTTTTTTTTTTTCACCTTTCTTTCTGGATGGAAAGGGTCCTATTAGACAGAATTTATATACCTAAGTTGTGTTGATTTTACTCTCATTAATGGCTCCAACTCATAAAAAAAGCATTGGGGATTTAAAAATGTATCTGAAAAATAAACAAATACACGAACTCTAGTTCTTTTTCCAGAACACGAAGCAAACAAAACACTTAGAATAGGAGTGCCTAATTGTGTTTCACATAGTATAACGAGTTAATAAATCACGCAGCAGCTACATAAATATGTCTAAACTCTATGTGGAGAAAAGTTAATATCTCAACAGCTAATGTAAGTGGATATTTATTAAATTATGGAAACTCTGCATGAATACAAAATAGGCTGACCAAAATTTAAAGGAATGCAAAGCATAGTCTTCTTCACTTTTCAGTTGTTTTTTAGTAGTAGAATAGAAGGATGAAATAATAAGCAAATACTAGATACCCCACATTGTGCTTTATTTAATACGCACGTATACAACTGAAAACACAGGCATAATAGACACATGTATGGTCCATGTCTGCATATTTCCAGTTCTGCCTTTCTAAAACACAGGAAACCATTTGCCTCATGCAGAGAACCTCAACTTGACACTGTGGCTTTATTCACCACTCTAGTTTTGCCCAAATCCATCATTCCAGCCATATGTCTTCCAAACACCTTTCATGTTTCATATTCACCACTTAGTCATATCACTGTCTTCGACTACCTCCCACTTATCCACATTTTTCAAAAGCGTTTAAAACCCATTTCCGCTGTAAAACCTTATCTTCAAATGTCTCCAGTGATTTCCTCATTGAACTCTCAATCCTTAATTATCTTTAATACTTTTCACACCATTTTCTGGAAGGTGCTATTACTTCTTTTGATACGTGTAAAGATCTTACCTCCTGAAACTTGATTATAAACTCTGGAAGACATTATTCATACATTATTCTTCTCAGGAACCTTTCATCACCCAGCACATTGCTTTGTATGGAGTAGGTGCTAAAGAGGTTGATGCATAGGAATGAGGTGGAAACAGGGAGAGCTCTACACAAGACGGGGGGACCAAAAGCCCCCTGAAATTTATTTATAAAAAAGTGTATATTTATTCTTACATGTTTAAACTTCAGTCACCTTTGAAGTACTCTCCATTTGAGGCAATACCTCTATCAAGACATTTTTTCCACTGATCCAAATAGTTTTTGAACTCGTCGATTTTGATA